CATTGGAAACTGTTCTGGAAACTATCCGTGTCAAGTAGAAAGAATTTTTTTCAAGTCGGAGGTTGAACATCTTCCAGTTTCAAATCTGAATTTTTAATGATGACTCAATGATGGTGCAATAAAACAACAAAACGAATATCATCGGGAAATGTCTGAAAAATCAATGACAAGCCCTGGAGCTGGAGCAACAGGAGCAATATTGCAAAAACAAAGTAAAAACAAAAATCGGTTGGCGGACCCTCCTGGGCTGCCGCAAGAGAATACAGGATCATAATCTCTTGGCTGCCTAGAGTTGCCTTTGATCGATGACAGCGGTTTTCTGCTGTTTTTTTGTTTTGTTTGTACTTACATCAAACTGAGAAAAACAACTGAGAAAGAAGCTTTTTAACTGTCGCCGGACTTTAGAGAGACCCTGGGAACGAGTACCTTGTCGTTTAGAATTTTTCCTCGGATCCATGACCGTCACGGGTTTTATGGAAGAACACCTTGGAGTATTTTTAAAATCTTAAGCAGCCATAACAGTGAAGAAGCTGAATGAGCTTTTCGCAAGTAAAAAGGCAAGGGAAAAACAGAGAGAAAGAGCAAAAATTCAAAAGAGGGAGAATGAACGAGATCCTCTTCAATTTTAAACGAGTCAGCGACCAGCCACTGAATTTAGCATTATCCTGTCGGAAAAATCTTGCGTAATCATGCAGAGGAGCAGAAGTTATAACCTTTGTCTGATCCGGTGCCGTATTTTGCGAGCACACCCTAGTGTTTGAGTTTCGCTCGCAGGCTAGATCCACAGACAGTCTAAGAGTGAACAAGCTGCTTTACAAAAGGGAAAAGGCCAGTGAAGAATAGAACGAAAGGGGGAGAATTAATTACTACCAAGAGAAAAGTCTGACAGGTGAGCTTGCATGTAGTCCACTACTATCTATTAAACCGACAAACCATTTCTTTGAGCGGTCAAACCCCATTGTAGAAAAAGTTTGTTGTCTTGAGCTAGGGTTGGAAATCTAATCTCCATGCAAATACAGCTAGAAGAAGAGCTAGAAGCAGCGCTAGAAGTCGTTCGCCGGGTTGACTCGTTCAGAACTGTGCAGATCGGAGTCCAGCTGTGATTCCAGGTCACAAGGCAATAAAATAAGCTTAATAACTCATCAGGCGCTTATAATGTGGAAGGTTCCTTTGTTGCTATATAAATAGTAGAACTTCGCTATCTAAAACTGGGTTTTATCTCGAACTCC